CAAAATGATTATTGTTTACTTTTGTTTTGTACACCTGACCTTTATCGCCATATTTTGTCCAGCGAGCTTTATAATTAATGGCTCCATTATAAAGCACTTCGTATCAATTGGAGAAATATATCAGTATGTAAGTAATCAGAATAGGTTTGTTGAGATGTCATCCTTTGATGTAGGCTTTATATTTCAGTTGTCTACGAGCTAACGGGAGAACATAGATTATCTAAGGCTAGCACTACATCGAAGCTTCGCCTGAAGTCAAGTTATAAATTATGTAGGTATGTCACCTACCTAGACGTGTCGCTTGCAGTGCGGCCAAATGTCCGTAGTATACAGTATGTAGTGCGTCTTCTTACGAGAGCTAAGCAATCAGTTTCAATCAATCACTCAGTTGTGCCAACTTCTTAATTTTGAACTTGCTGACTTACCGTTAAGATAATTTTAGGTATATTAGAAATACGTTTTCAAATTCATTATAGGTATAAGACTGCAGTTCTATTAAACAAAACAAGATTATTAATTGTTTAAAGATTAGTATACCGAAAAAGAACAGAATAAGCTCCTAGTAACTGAAAGCATGATTTGGCGGAAACATCCCCGAATGGCCTAGGCTTAAGGCTACATAGAATTGAACATATTGGACCACGAAGCACTCATACACGGGAATGGCTAAAGTACCGCTAAAAAAAAACTGTTCGTCAGGATCAGTTTGAGATATCAGACCCTTCAAACTTCAAGAACCTGTATAAGACAGGAATCAGTGGCCTCATCTCGTATCGGAGGCCAAAATAATCGGATCGCTGAATCAGCAGAGTAAGTGCACCGAAAATCTGTCAGCAAATGTAGTTTTATAGTTTACTCAATCTCAATAAATATTTTTATGGTTTCAACTTTTATGCACTTTAAGTATTTTATACTTGGAGTCTGTTGTCTGTACCAAGCACTTGAACTTCATAAATATGTGTTATGTATTTTTGCCCACATACAGTATTAAAAGTGTGCACCGTGCAACGGTCAATGACTCACTCTAACATTATTCACTATAACTGAGATGACACGCAAAACTAATTTCTATGTAAAAACACTAGACTGCCTTATTCGAGTCTTATAATCTTGGAAATTACATCAAACACAACATTTTTGTCTCAAACACGTGAGCTGATTTCAAGAAGTTAAATCACAATGTTTTGGCATATAAATCGACTAATACATCTTTAATTTAACCTTATAATATCATGGTTCTAGGTATATTTTAGTATTACAAAAAAAGCTTAAATCTTGTGAGGCTGAAGTTGTCCTCATATTTTCGTAATAGTCGTCAACTGTCGTCATTTTTAGTTAAAAACATCTCAGTAAAGATCATTTACACAAATTCTAAATGAAATTATAAAATAATAATAAAAGTGGAAACCAAATAAATATTAAAAAAAATCAAATTGTAAGAACAACACAATTACTTTTCTTTTTATTATTAGCTGATATATACTCAACAAAAGATGTTTTTAATTTGCAATCGATTTTTAATATACATCGTGAATTTGAAGTTACCTGAGAAACTTTACTAGCTAATTAAGACAACGATATAGGGTTTTCACAAATAACTTTTTACTGAAATTATCTTTTTAGAAAATTTTGTCCACCTTAACTCAATATTTATGCAATTATGAAATCCTTACAATTTTTATTGTTATAAAGGACAATGCCTACTTTGTATGGGAATTAGGCTTAACATGGACAGTCATTGTAACAAGTAAAACTATACAATGCAAGAAGCTTAAAGTACTTAGAAACTGTGAATCATTATAATTTTGTATCAGTATCCTTTAAACAATTTTTAGCACCGCGATGAAAAAAGGTAATATAAGCGCAAGGAAGATATGTTCGCAACGATCTATATTATTCGAAGTCATTGTATTACCAATACGATATCTAGACACTAGGTTGAATATTTTCTGTTACAAAAATAAATAAAATTTACTAATATACATCTATTCTTTAAATATGACGCAAATAAAATTTATATTGTGTAAAATGGCGTGCGATGTCACATGCATAATACCAAATGTGTAAACGAAAAAACGCTGTTGTTTTGACCGTTTGGGTGCGTGCCAAACCTAGGCTCCAAGTGCAACTTTTCATTTTGACGTTTCAATTTTGAGTATGAAAATTCTATCGAATTTGACATTTGTTGCACCTGGAGCGTTGGTTTAGAACGCAGTTCTTATCTGCAAATATTATCTTGGATCCAGCCAGTCCTAGCCGTCTTCACTGAAATGACGAGATGCTTACTAAAATTCTGCCAGTCATAGCCGTTTTCGTTGCTAACATAAATTCGACCAATTACAGCCGTTTTCGATCATGTGACATTAGATAACTAATGGAAGGAAGTGACGGTATTATTTTCCTTTATATTTATTGTATTAATAATGAAACCCTGCATTATATTACCGTTAATTATAGAAATTAGTTGAAAAATAAATAACATATTAGTGTAAAATTATTGTTTGTCAATCACTTTGTCCACGCTGAGCCATGTCGGGCATTTCCCTTTATTCAAATAACTCTACTTTGAGATTATGCATACTTAAAATGGGTTATAATTCCATAATAGGTGTGTTTCTTACAGCAACATTTTATGATATTGTGTAAACGATATAAATCAATATTTTTGTATGGGAGAGCTGCATTACGTTTATAACCTGCGCAGATGAGGGACCCGCCGTAATAGATCGCTTACAACTGTCACATCGAGTAACTCACATGAAAGATTAAAAATACCACGGACAAAAAGCCCCCCAAATTTCGCGGTCACTGAGGAACCGGACAGGACAAAAGTAGGTGAGAGTCTTCGAAAAAATAGAACATATGTGACAAGAGGCGACAATGCAGACGACGGACTTAGTTGGCGGTGCGCACTCGATAGTGATGAACGTGATAAACAAGTGGATAAAGAACTCCTGCCCCTCTAGCATGACCACCGAAACGTGATTTCAGTGATTTATCAACCTCAAGTATATTGCTCGTATGTTTTGCATCGCTTTACGCTTAAACTATATGATCGTTCAGAAGGATCGGATAACATTGTTTTATTCAATATTATAGTGAAAGCGTAAGAAATAATCTCAATCTCAAAGATCGTCTGCAACCAACAGCATACACACTCAAAAAAAAGAAGTCCTCGGTGGACAAATTTTTTTCATAACACGGGGACAAAAGTCCGTCGTCTGCGCACGCTCTTACTGTTTATACCGTCTATAACTATTCCCACTGTTTTTATTTACCTGATCTTTAAGTTTCTCAGATAGCTCAAAATTCACAGTATGTATATATTCTATAGCTATATACATACTGTGAATAATACCCAATTCCATTAATTAGTAACTAAAGAAAGAAAAAGATTGAATTAATTATTTATTTTATAACGACAATATAAAATATTAACTGATAAAACTTGTAGTTTGCGTAAATAATGCATGTTGCTTAGCCTTTTTTGATGTGGTTTTTGTTTACTTTCTATTTTCAAATGATGCATGTGCGTCATAAAGATACAGGATTATTTGAATATCGATACTGCCACTAGGGTGGCGAAACGGATTTTGCCTTTTCGATCTTTATTCTCTTAGTCTATAAAGATGACACGTTGAGTAACGGAAACGAGGCCGGTGGCATGTGTAATAATGTGACGATTATTGATAAGGTTTTGTAAGATTTGACATCAACCAACAACGTAGGATTATCTAATTCAGATTGATCTACATCTGATCATAATCAATATTATCAATCTCTATTTGGCATTAATTTTGGATATGTTTATATCATCCCGAAATGTTTTTGATGTCAACATCTATTGCAGTGGGTGGAAGAGCGTCTGAAATAGTTTCTTAGATTTTTTATAGCGATAACTTTCAATCTAACTAAATGACTGATACCTACCAGTTTATAATATGTACTGCAATTTAGATCGCGTTGATTCATCCACAGTTAAAAACGATAATAGTTAAAATACTAGGAAATAAATAACCATCTGTCAAAATTGTACACAATGATTTTTAATTTTAATCACATTTAATATAGTTAAATGAAAATTAAACATGATACAGTCAGCACGTGTCAGAGCGCTATTGGTCTAATGGTTACTCGCTTTCCAAGTAAGTTATAAAATATCTGTTTTTATATATATTATAAACAGATATTTTATAATATAAGTATTATGTTATAAAATATCTGTTTTCAACATTTACACCAATTAGCCTAGGTCCAAATTTAATTACTCAATGTAAGGATTGTGTTCCCAGATCAAGGGTAACAGACAGAAATACAGAAAAATGATACCTAATATAAGTCCCAGTGTGTCCCTTGAAATGTATAGAAAATCATGACGTAGGTACAAATACTCGTTTTCATCATACAAAAATTTGCACCACTGGGATTTGAACCGTGATCTCTTAGTAGGTGACACCTTGATAAACGGTATACACTACATACCATTTCACCACGGAAGTTGCTAAAAGCAAACAGTACAGATGATTGTTTTTTTCATTGGTGTAAAATAGTTGCTAAATATCTTTTCAAAACTAAATTTTGTAATTTTTATTATTTCTAAACATAATTGTATTAACAAAGTGAAGTAAGCCATAGCGGATGTTCCGCTGGAATTGGAGCGCCCGTCTATGGAAATAACCTACACCTTGAAGGGGACGAAAATTAAATAATGCTAAACTTTCGGTGGTGTTGAGTTACTGTAGGTAAGTAAGGTTTCAGGGCTCCACGGGTAAGTGGTTAGTCAGGATAGGCATCGGCACAAGTAATTCTTTGGTAACGAAAGGCAAATAAGTTTTTTTTTATATATACTACACAATTCTTCCTATTTTGTAAATGACAAATGGTAATGAAACAGCAGTAAATGACTATAACTTCATATATTTATTCTTATATTATCTAGATTTTATGTTACAAAGTAAAATAATGAACCTGTAATAGCTCTTAATATAATTATAAGTGTGGTGAAGAATATTCTTATGATGCTGGTACTAAAACCTCCCCTTAGGCTTGAAAGGGGAGTTCAGATATTGAGTTTGGACGTTCGAGGATGCTCCGGTAGCTGAAGGCGGCAAAGTTTTTAAATATTCTAAAGCCTTTTGGATCGCAGGCGGGATCGGTGGTGGAGTAGGCAGATGATCTCCCTGAAATTATAAACTTCATGAAAGAAGAAAGTTAAAACAATCATGTTTCTGTAATGTTTTTGTGCGCAGGTGGTTAGCGCATTCGGTCTGGGATCGGGAAAATCAAGCAACTTTCGCAATAGTAGGTCATTAGGTGGGTGATCAAAAACTTATTATCTTAAGCTTCACCGTGCTTCGGAGGGCGCATTAAGCCGTTGGTTGCTGCTGTATCTGCAGTTTTTAGCACCCACTAATCCGCACTGGCTCTGCGTAGGGGGTCGCGTCCTGTCTCCTTATTCCATCCATATGGAAGGCCTGTGCGCCTACATGGGAATATTAATAGGCTGACGATGATGTTTCTGTAAAACAAGTAGACAAACCAAGAGTTAAACAAAAGCAAATTTAACCATTACTGCTACAGCAGCGGTAACGATATATAGCAAAAAAAAACTCAACGAAAGGGAACAATGAACGTATATTGGTACGGAATGCTTCTTGCGCAATTCTGGTTTGCAATATGCGTGTTTAATGTATTCATTCCAATTGAGAAAACCTCTGAATTATCAAATTTATAAAAAAAACTACTTTCCGCCCTTATTTTTATACATAAGGAACATTCCGTTTCTTTGACAAATTGGATTAGATGTAAATGTCACATTATTTAAATAAGATGATCTGATCTATTTCACCGCATCTATAATATTTTAACAAGGTTACTACAAGTTCTAAAAGTCAACATCATCAATCTTAAATATCTTGTAAGAAACCATTTGGGGTTGCGTAATATTAATATTCGATCTGGTTTGTGTTTCGAATTAATTGAAAGGATGTCGTTATTTATGAACAAATGGAAATCGGAAATGATGTTCCATTCTTAAAAAAAAAAAAGTTTACTTTCACAAAATTTGTGAGAAAACCAATATTTAATATTGCTACGATTCGTATGATTATTGATCGTACATATTATTAATTTAGTCACCTAATATTATATTTAATCATATCCAATATCAATATTGTTTCGATTGATAAGTTCTTTATTTTTGTATTATGATTTTATTTAGTCAACAAAAATAATACAGACTTATGAACAACATCATAGTAATTTATGTTATTTACGGGATTACCATGTATAACAATATATACATCAATCAAGATAATAAAATAAATTACTATAATATGAATGACCAGGACAGTTTAAAGCAATATTTTATGAATAACATACCTACATGCAACAGTTATTCATAATTTTTTGTTTCATCACTTTTGTACTTTCGACAATAGGTACTCTTATTTAAATGATTGCAGTTAAATAGAAATGTTTCAAATACGAAGAAGAAGTTTTGATTTGATCCAGTGGGTCTAAGGTCAACGTCTGATATTTTGTAGCGACATTTGTTCACATGTTGGCTAACACACACTGGGCCTTATTGCCTAGATCTTCCTCGAATTTGCGCAATTACCTTTCCAGCTTGATTCGGTTTAGTTTCCATGAAATTTATTTAGTATTCAAACGTCAACCGTGAAAATGGGTTTCGATTTCCAGTTAGCTAGTATTACAAAATTTTACGTCAGAGCTTTAAAGTTATATTACGACCATATCATAATAATGTCAGTTTTAGCAGTATGTAAAAATACTTTCTAGATAAATTTAACGATGCTGTTATTATGAGCCGTATTTATGAGTCATACCTATTTCAAAGCACCGTGAATTTTGACTTACATGGGAAACTTTACTAGCTTAGTCAGACAATGATTGCGGTTATATCTATCACAGCAAAAAAAAATCTTAATTTTTTTTTTGAAAACTTTCTCCACCTTAACTCGCTAATTGTGCCATTAAGAGACATTAACAATTTTAATTGTCATACATTGATTCCTTAATATATGCGTTATTTACAAATTTGCGTCATCTATACTACGAGTATATAAAGAGAGAAAAGGTTTCACTGACTGTCTGCTTATCGACGCACAGCCAAAACGGCTGGACCTAGAATGATGAAATTTGGACAGTAGGTTCCTATTATTGCCTAGACAAGTAATGGATGGAATTTTTTGAAATTCAGCCCCTTAAGCGTGAAATTTGCAAAAAACGTTTGTTCGTAAAATCTTATCCCTGGGACCTATTGACTGCAAATTTTGTATAAACATTATTAAATTGATGTACACTAAAAAAAAAACACTAAGCCCGTTTCATAAAATTTTTACAACTACCCTCAAAAAATTACAAAATTACGTGCCAAAGATTATATAGGAGATCATCCAAAAAAAGCATAGGATTGAATAAAATTTTGCACACTTACTGTGCATAAAATAGAAATGCTACCTGTGCTTTCATTTCTCAATACTACCCTTATAAAACAAAGATAAATCATGTTGAAGTTTTAAATAGTACGTCAACACACGCCTACACTTTTGGTCGCAGAGACATGATATTTAGTAAATAGGCTGTTTAAATGACGTAGGCATCAAGCGAGATTTTTGAATATTCCACCGTGAATTGGGTGATATAGGGGTTCAAAGTTTGTACGGGAAAACGAGTTTGACTAGTTTGTCATATTTGAAGCCAAGTGCGTGTTGTGCCACGCGCAGTTAGGGTTCTGTAGTTGCCTGTAGTTATAACAATATAATTTAAGCAGAAGTCTTTATTTGCTATAACGGAAATTAAAAAAAAAACAATTATAATCAATCATAGATTGATAATAATTGTTTGAATGAATGAATGATATCCGCCGATTTTTTTTGTTTCCTCCCAGGCGGGGAAGCGGGTGTGAAATCCTCATGGATACCCTACAGCCGGCTGCAAGGTTTTGTCAGACGATTACTGACCAAAAGCTTCATCTCCTTCTCAGGGGATGATTGCTGTGATTCGATGCATATATTTTTATATTTTTATAATGTCTTGCGCAGGCGAAGGACTTTTGTCCACGGAGAACAAATATCACCCATTCGTGAAAAAAATGCTTCGCTGAGAACTTGTTACGGACTCAACGCACACGGTTTGCGATCATTTTGGTTGCCCGAAAATTTACAGAAGCGCACGCTTTGCAAGTAAATATTTTCATATTACGTTGTGTTTTAATTAACATGAACATTAAGTACGTTCTTTTGTCCAGTCTGGTCGCTCGGTGTCCTCGGTTGTTCGGGGGACTTTTTGTACCCGATACTTTTAATCTGTCGTGTATATTATTCGATGCAGTTGTAAGCTAGCTATTTTGGCAGACAAAAAAGTCCGCGGATAAAAAGTCTCTCGTGTGCACAGGCTTTATTCCAATTTAACAAAGTAGAATTATTGCAAAACTATCCTTAAGTAAAAATCATCACCTAGGCGGTCGCTCAACCTCTTGCGGTCAGCAATGCAAAGCGTTGTTATGGAATAACAATATGTTAAATAACTTGACATTTTACGTAACAATGCTGTGAAGGTGCCATCAATCTTCACATAAACTATTGGCTGAACAATAGAGTGTCAACAGATTATAGATATATGTTTATTTAACATTTAACTTAGATCTAAACGGGTATCGATCTCCTTAAATAGAATAGTTTTAATTCTTGACGGTCGTAACCTTTGCTTGCCAGGTTTTCGCGAAAGTTTAATGCTGAAATGATCCACAAATATCAATTATTACATAAAAACCTTACTATTTAATTTATGAAAATTTATTTAAAGCTCAAATAAATCTTTACATTTATTACAACAAATATGCCAAGGCCTCTATTCCAGCAGAGGGCGTGTTAAACGCATTAAGGATGACTCACGTTAGACTGTCCGAGCCGAGCTTCGGTCGTAACATGGTCACCAAGCCGTATCTGAAATTTAAAAAGACGAGCCTCGACTGCGCAATTACGAAGTCGAATAAAATCCGAGCAATAATAGTGCAAAACGTTAGTACTTTTGTTTAGCAGTAGCATCACTACGAGTGCTTTGGGGGCAGGTTAGGGGCACTGCATTTATGAAACGGACGGTAGCCTGTTGCCCGGCCGTCACTCGGTTGCCGCTCGGTATAGCGGGAGTAGTTTCATATGAAATATATGTAATACTAGCGATAGCGGCCAACCGCGATTTCATCTTTAGTTTTTTTCAGAATCCAATAAGAACCTGCCATTTTTCCTGGGTAAAAAGTATCCTTTGTCTCAATAGGTCAGGCCATAAACTATACGCGCAACAAATTTCATCCAAATCCGTTAAGTAGTTTATTGTGTGTTTGAATAACAAACATACAAACACAAAAACATACAAACTTTAACATTTATAATATTAGTAGGAAGTGGGATAAGTTCACCGTGCTAGGGCCGACGCTCGACTCGGACCCGACACTGTCTAGCCTAAGTCATCCTTTAGCGAGGTACGCTGAGCCGTTCAGTTTTATGTGCTTCTTATTGTTGGAATGTAATGATGATACTGATGTTATCCTTAAAAGGCAACGTGATCGCAAACAGTCAGTCCTTTGCAAATTAAATTCATGTAATGGTTGAGCTATTACATTAATACATAGGTACTAACGTTCAATTTGATACATATAAAACAACCTTCATATTCTTTATACTTAGAATATTTTAATAGTAAAATAATCAAATTTTTAATTTAATGATCAAAAAGATAACATTATTCCGTTAATTTATGCGTGCATAGAAATGTAACATTGAATTTGGTCTGTTTTATATATTCCATTAAATTCTATGAGTTCCAATGAAAAAAAATATTTGAAACAAAGTTACTGGAGTCAGATAGGTACTTATTCACCGTTAAATCAAAAAAACCTTCAGACTATATTGCAGGTATTACCTTGAAACAAAAAATATGGAAGTCTGTTCATTTGTTTAATGGAGAAGACTATTCCGAATTCGTTATGCGTCATTTTAATGGGGCAAGAATATACGTTATCGCCTGTTTTAAATTATTTCAGTTTATAGAAATGACTTGTGTTCCAACAGTAAATTATTGTAAGTACCGTTATATTAAGATAACCTTCCATATCTGAAATGTGTGTGGTCATATTATGTACATTATTACACTTAGGTCTTTCCAGAATTAAAATAGTTTACTATACTTCTGTTTAGCATTTGCATATTTCTTTTGTTTAAACATTAAATTTCTAGATTACTTTATTCAAATGAACATTTAGCCATAATTAGTTTAACTAGGGTTATGTGTCAGACTGGATTTGTAACAGTGTCCTTCCATATCAGACCGCGTTGTTTCAAAGATTGTTAATTTGAATACTATAGTTAGAATACGGGAGAAAAAATAAATATTTGTCCAAAACAAACCAAAATTTTATACATTAACTATGTATTTGACATTACTTTAACTATAGTCAGATGTAACAATAGATTAAACAACGCGGCCCAAATTATTGTACTGACCGCTAATTTCTGACACGTAATATGACGTGCCTGCTGAATTTTATAAGTAACTACAATAACATACAAGATAGTTTAAAAAGATAAAATCTCTTATCTAATAGACAAGTCCGTCCGTCTGTCTGTGGTGCTGTTTCAGCGGCCAAACCGTAAAAGATAGATAAAGAGAATATTTAAGATATAAGTTAAGAATAGTCTGATAAGACTACAAACCGGATTTGAGTAACGTAGCACTTCCGGTTTTCGAGAAATCAGGTTTTGGTGAACATTTGGTTCACTGGTTTGCTTGTATGTTATACTAATGTTTGGAGAGTGACTAATTATGTTACATTAATACTTGCATAGAATCAACTAGCGGAGGCCCGCGACTTCATCCGCGTTAACTTTTAGTTTTTTTTTCTAAAATAAAAGTATTTTACTTAAATAAAAATAGCATAAGCTACTCCTTATTACATCAGCTACCTGCCAACAAAAGTCCTGTAAATCAGTCCAGCAATTGCAGAGATTAATTAGACATCAAGTACAATAGTAAACAAGTCACAGGAAATTATTAAAAAAATAAAAGTTCATTTACTACAGTTATGATTTTATTTATTTTTTTAAGCATTTTACTGCTAGATGTTTAAATATAAAGAAAAGTTTACTAGAAAAAGAACCCGCATCCTTCGCTATCCGGGCGAATGCACTGACCATTATGCTACCACGGCCCTTTTAGCCGCGTCGAAATTTTCCTAGCCTTAAGCTGCAAGGCAGCGCCATCTCTTCGCATTGTAGGTAACCCACAATGTCAAATGAATACTTTTTCAAGTATTAAACATTTGAAAGAAGAAATAGCAATTATAGTTATGATTTTTTTTTAAGCATTTTACTGCTAGATGTTTAAATCTAAAGAAAAGTTTACTAGAAAAAAATCCACGCGGACCAGGCAGCGGACGGGACTCGAACCCGCATCCTTCGCTATCCGGGCGAATGCACTGACCATTATGCTACCACACTTTTTTTCTAGTAAACTTTTCTTTAGATTCATTTACTACAATTTATCATGTCCATATCAAAGTACAATAAATTTGGGTTGATATCGTGCTCTTTAAATCATCTTTCTTTTAGTTCCTACAATATATACTATAGTGTAGTTACATTAAACACTGTAAAATATACACTGATCTGTGTGGTTAAGTAACTCGTATTAATATTTAAAATATTTTTCTGACACTTTAGTGGCGCGTTGAAGTCTTTTCTATTGACGATTTACAACCGATAAACGAAGCGATACCTTGAGCACTTAATAAATTAAATGATGTCACTGTTAGGTATCCGATCGTATCTTATACGTTACGACTGTTGAAATATATTCATCATTTAACTGTTTGTCATTCTTGGTTTATTAACTTGACTTACGTTATTTATTGCAAACTAGCGTTCGCCCGCGACTTTGCCCGCGATAGGTTTAGTTTTTGAGAAGGCCACATGAACCTATAATTTTTCCGACATAAAAAGAATCTTTCTCAATCCAAGTCATAAACTGTTTGTGTACCAAATATAATTCCGTTTAGAAGTTTATGCGTGAAATAATTACAAAGATCTATACAAACTTTCGCATTTATAATATTAATAATTGTTGGTTCATAAATTGTTTTGTGTACCCCGAGGCGGTTATTTTATATACTATTATTTAAAATTGTATGAGTATCTCTTTAATTATTTTAATTTAAAGGCAAGTTTAACGTTTCCAAATAAGGGCGAAATCTGTAAGGATAAATTAGTTGTAGCTTATAACTCAGTCTTATAATTGTTTATTGTGTTTTGGTTTGATTTTTTGTTTGATCACCGTATTAATTTAGCTTTCGCTGTCCGTCCGTCTGTCTATTCCTCAGTGAGCTGTTTCTCGTGAAACGTTTAAAGTAGGCAGTTTCAATTTTCGCCAAGTATCTTATTCTTTTGATGCTATATTGACAAATAATAAAAAATTAAGTTGGCTCCTATACTAGAATATTGACTTTTTTGTAGTTGTGTAGTCCGATTCAAAATTGATCTGTTTTTGATTAAACTAAAATTACCCGTTTTGCATAAATATGTTATGTTATTTATGATACATCTGCAGAAATAAGGTTATTGTGAATAAGTACCACATAGCGAAAACACGAGCGAAGGGAGATGTCTTAAAAATGTTTTTTAACGAGAAACTTAAATTAATACGTCACATTTTTTATGGTTCATCTTTAGTAGGTCGCTTTCCATTTTTATTTTTATAGAAAAATTTAGATCTTTCTATAAGCGTCGGTCGTGCACTGGTAAAATTTGCCTGCCACGCGAGCTGCCCAGTTAAGAAAGATTGTTTTTTTTCCACTTTCAGGGTTCCGTAGTTCCGTAGGATAAGGAACCCTTATCGTTCCGTCATGTCCGTCTGTCTGTCCGAGGTTTTACTTGGAGACTATTGGCATTAGGGAGCTATAATTTTGTGGAGGTATGTATATTAATCAAGCCAACAAAGTGGTAGAACAATTTTTATAACAATATTTTTTTTAATTGAAGCTCCCCTAAATACTCGTATAACATGGAGATGAATTTTCATGTTTTATTGAAAAGGTGCTTTTAATGGCTAAGGTTTCGATTTAGGGAGCCGTTTGCGAAATTATAAACTTTAAAGTGCTAATTTTCGTTGAAGTAGGGTGATCCAGCCCCCCCCCCCCTCTAAAAGCAAAAATATTGGCTTTAAAAATTTGAAAAAATCATGAGAATATTGCTTTTCATGAACTTTAAAATAATATATAACGGTTAAGATATATCAGTTAGTTTTAGAGTATCGTTCAACACATTAGAAAAAAAATAACCTAATGAAAAATCCTTAGAAAAAAACATTAAAATCACACTAATATTTTAAACCTTACAGATTATGACCATCGGATATAGAAATCATTAAATATTGCGGCCAATCGTGAATTGAACCAATCTCGAATTGGACCAATCGAGAATCGGACTAATAGCAAATTAAATTAATTGCTAATTTCTCTTTTTTCACCATCGAACCAGTCACATGATGGCCCAATCGCACTTATACATTGTTTTGTTTCTTTATTAGAAGTATTTCAGATCAAATAATAAATAATATACTCGCCTGCGGCTGGAAGCCATTCTCGTCGGCGATGTATGTGAGTGCTATGAGATCTCCTTCAGGCGATTTATAACTGAACTTTCCCTCCGCGACTTGCACTTCTTCGCCTTCACCTTTGCCGAAGTTTTTCACGTATCCCGTTTCTTCTGCGTTTATTTCATTGCCTGTTTCATACCTGAATAAAACAAAAGAAACATAAACAATAATACAGTCAATAAATACATGCGAATTGCTGATCACCAAGGTGTTAACGGTTTTTCATCGATTCAGAAATTGTTTAAAGAGTCATGAATCTAATGAGTATGATATCTAAGGTGTAATTTAATGCTATGTTAACGTCACAATTCAGTAGTACATAATATACTTTGAACAGTTTTTTTCTTTTTCCGATATGAGTTCTGAAACATCCAAAACCGTTTGAATTAAACTTCATTAAAATAATTTTTCTCACGAAAGTTTCAGATATAAGAGCAATAGCTCACATTCTCAAATTTGCTGCTACTTTTTTTTTACTTCTACAGCTTAAATGTTTGCTTTAACTTTGTCGATGGTTAGTGACTTAAGAAATCACCCACTACGTGGGTCCTATGTGTATTGATGGATTAGGATGTGTGAAAAGGATATTTATTTAACTCACAGCCATTTATATGATCCATCTACATTAGGGCCATCTGTTTCTAAGCGTATTATAGGAATCTGATCTCCTGCTGGTTGTTGTTGTTGTGGTGGACCTTGGGCTGCTAATGTGCAAGCAAATATACTTAGTAATACAAAGGAGATCTGAAACAAAAAATTGAAATCAAAATACTTAAGTAATTTATTGACCAATCATTTAAAATTAATATTTCAGCTGAGTCAACCGATATATTATACTACTCATTAAATTAGTATACTTTGCTATAGTTTCATAAGAAAATAACCATCCTAAAAGCCAACCATGTTTTCATCATAGTGTATTGTACTTTCATTAAATAAGAGTCGTTTCAGTACGTTTTAACACTGACGCAACACTTTCCTATTATGTAGATGATATGAAAAAAAAAAATTGCTTATAATTTGTTCTCGAGGAGCTCGATGGCGCAAGTGGTTAGCACGTTCGGCTGCGATCGTTGAACCTAAGCAAGTCGTTAGCACCCACCAATCCGCACTGGGCCCGCGTGGTGGGTCATGGCCCAATCTCCCTATTCCATCCATAGGGAAGGCCTATGCCCCAGCAGTGGGGACATTAATAGGCTGATGATGATGATGATAATTTCTTCAAATGCTTAGCTCCTAAAACCAAACTATTATGTTAAATAGGTACTAGAAACACTATTTATTTTACATTCTAGATATAAAAGTATTTGCTATAATACCTACCTATATTCGAAACTGCTATGTAATAGGACTGAACTAGAAAACGCAGTTCATCTTGGCGGAAGAGCGAAAGTTGAAAGTGTCTCATCAACAATGAAATGCCTATAAAGGAATCGTGGTGAAACCTCCAACCACACAAGTTATTTATGCGACAGCATTTCAGGTACAGCATATTATAACATATATATCACTGTTATATGACGTTGTATTTTCATAATTCATCAACTTTTCGTTCACCGTTAACATGCATCAAGATGAACAATAATTTAAATAACCTTGTACTTATCAGTTTACTATTACTGACATTTAAATAATAAGCGCTACATTAATATAAAAAATGGTCATGCTACAAACACTAACATACTACACTCACCAGTAAAAATAAAGGGTCACCTTGGCAACAGCAAGATCTTCAAAAAATTATCGAGTTCATTTAATAGATAATCATCATACTGCGTTTTATTTTAATTTGAATATTTTTTTAGATATTTCATTATGTAAAAATATGAAACGAATGAAGTTTCAAAGTAATTTGGAGTTAACTTAGGTAACCTTTTCTTTATGCGGGCGAGTGTATTAATGGTGCAGACCTGCTACAGTCTAGTAATACATTGGTGGAAACCTTCATCAGAGTCCTTCATCTCTTTGATTACAAATTATAAATACTGATCCATTCTCAGTATGATTGCATTTCTTTATTTAATTGTAGAGATTAACAACTACATTAACTATCTCATTTATTTAATGAGAAGCTTAATAGTGCAAATGTCGCAAATAACAATGTCATGCAGTGTTGAATATTGTGTTAGTTTGAAATCGAATATACATTAAATTTATACATAATAAAGTAAACTGATATAACTTTACGAATGCAAAATTATGTGTCTCAAGTGCAATATATTTTTAGCATTAAATAATTTGCATGATATAGAGAAGCTTTGTACGTCAATCAGTTCCACATTGAATCGACTGACAACAGCAAATGGCTCAAATGAGTTACGTGCTTGATCGCCTTTAGCTCGAATATTACTAGTCATACTTAACACGTCTCTAGAGTATTTAATAAGCATATTACAAATCTTAAAGTTCGTAGTAAGAAACATATTACACATACGTAAAGGCAGGTTAGGAAACTTCAATTTTGAATGTTAATGTAATGCAGGTACGATGTTCATGGGAATTTCGTTTGATTAGGGGGACCCATCAGTGATAATGCTTGGCGTTACAAGACAAGCGAGTCGATTAGAGAAAGGATCATTGACGTGGTAGAAGAGATTGAGAGCCGTAAATGGAGATGGGTAGGACAATTAACCACCATCGCTGGGCCAAAAAGACGTTAGAGTAGAAACCCCGCAATAATACCCGCGGCAGAGGAAGTTCGCCTAAAAGATGGACAGATGACATCCCGCAACAGGCTGGAATTAACTCGACGCAAGTGGCCCTGGACAGAAGTCGGTGGAAGGTTGAAGAGGATGTAAAAGGTAAGCAGCCGCTGTTTCCTTAACATGCTCGAGGTACCAGAGAGTTACTCGCCCATTTCCTACTTCAGAGTATGTCAACTCCACCCGTGGAGCTCTAAAAATCGAACAAACTGCAGAAACATAACACTAACTCACAGTCTTCCGCTGGGCGGGGATTGCATTCTCAGGTGTGTGCTCAATTTCGAGCGAGAAATCTGCTATGTCCCACCTCTCTTGATTGAATTGTTGAATCTTTTGAATAGAATATTTGCATTTAAGGAAAAATGTTGCGTAGTAAATCGCAAATATTTTATCTTTATTTTTGAAATGTCAACGTAATATAATAACAGATCTTATCCAAGTGACAACACATAAAGCGCGCTTTCATCCGCCAGTCAACGTACCCTTGTAACTCAACGAAGAGGCAAAAGGAAGCCCGCAAATATTCGTCATACGTGATGAAACGTGACAAGGCAACACCGTGTTGGATATGGACGGAAACGTATATAACGGTTACCGAGTTTCGATAACAATCTCCTTTCTGTTCGGATTGCACTTGCTTTTGTGCACGAGGTGACTTTTGCCCCTCAGTACCTATCCATACGAAAGCAGAGAACATTTTGAAATGTAATTGGTGAAATTGCAACTACATTTTGTAACTGTTTACGAAATGCTTAGATCACCAGATTAGTTGCTCAGAGTTTATAAAGGTAGATGATTACAAAGAAAGCATTTAATAAAAATGTGTAACTAATTTACTATACAAAAGAAGTTTTCCTCATCCGGGAACTTTTGGTTGAAAACTAAATAGAATCAACAATATGAAAACAGTATGGTAAATCTATCGATACACATAGACCATTAGTAAGATAATTTTGCACGAAAAGTACATGTTTGTATGATACAAGTTTAGAACTAAAATTATGATCAATAGGAAAGCAAAATAGGCAATTGCACTATGTATCGCACTTTATATAAAAGTAGATTGACGACCTTCTTAGTGGAGAATTTAAAAGTTATAAAGGTGTGTAAAAGTTTTAAACTATAGGACCTCTAAGGGTTTGAATCCCGGCGAGAAAAATGTTTGAATGATTAATACGTTTATTTGTACGTAAGTTTTGGCTGTTTATTTGTTTTAATACATTTCTTCAAAAATATACTTATCTATGTATTACCTATTCTTATATAATTTTATCCATTACAAGCTTAAAGTGCCTAATTTGGGGCTAGGCTAATTGGGTGCGAGTATTACAAATACCTTTTTCTTTATTTTAATATTACCGTACTGGTTGGATTCTAAAGTAATGTGGTAATAATATAATGAGTAACTTTATAAATCTTTTCCAAATACAAAAAATAAGGTTCTAATTGGAAATAGTAAGACCTAAACGTTTGTTAGATTTATTTGCAAGAAATCTATTGATATAATAAATAAATAGAAGTATTCTGGGCCTCTTACCATTTTGGGTGATGTGGGTAAGGAGTATTTCAAGGAAACAGCCTCCGGCACAGGCAATATAGGTGTGTGCTCGGTGACACTGCATGGTGGTGTTTATATACCGGCTTGTTTACCTATGAACTTCGTGCGACTCGAATACTCGGTGCATGCGCATCCTAACGATTCATCACACGACACACCAATGCATCATGCACCCAAACACAGGCGTAAAACCAAAAGATTGCTTCAGTAACCATTTTATAATTTCTCTTTGTACATGTTCTTGTTTTCTTTGTACAAATTGTGATAAGAACTGTTGAGGTACAAGATAACAAAAAATAATATGGTATACATTATTATTAAAATTTTAAATAAAAAATTAATAGAAAGGCATTGCGGATTTTTCGCTTGAATTGGAGTGCTCGTCTCGGGAAGTAAACTCCACCTTAAAGAAGATCACAGTAATAAAAGTAACACCTACCTTTTATTGTGTTTCTGTCGGTGAGTAAGGACTCCACGGGGAAGTGGATTGGGTCGGGGCATCCCTAAGTTGGGTGGGTCCGTTCGAATCGGACACTCACTGATGGGGTTGTGGATGTATCCGTAAGGGTTCCCATGGCCTCATACAGTGCCGCTGCCTTGTCGAGGAGGGTACCGCCTGATGGTGGATCCCGTCCCAGGGGAGGCCTCGGTCCATCGGTGAGATGAGGGGCATCGTCAGGTTTTTAGTGGGTAGGGCCCCCTTCCTCTCGAGCAGCCGCCGAGCCAGCCCTTGGACTGGTTGGGTGGGTGTGCGAGAGGAGGAGGGGAGGAGTCCCACATAACCTCGCCGCACTCCCAAGGCGGTGGGGTACGCGCAACGCATTTACCTGACGTTAAAAAAAAAAGGGTAGGCAATGGTGCCAGTGATATTTTTGGTATCACAATCGACTATAGGCTATGGTGGCCGCTTACCATCAGGCGGGCCAAACGCTTGCTTGCTACCTATTTAACATAAAAAAATTAATGTCACGAGAATGTTAAATTGATCTCCACCTTCTTTGCCATTGTTCCATTATTACTAGGCTTATTGCAATCATGAATTTTAATAAATTTATTGGATTACAACTACTAGGAATTTTAACTAAATTTATACAGTGATGTTGATACTTTTTGCAGTGTAACAGAGATACGAGCATCAACGTAATTATCGAAATAAAAATCACTTTTTAAATTTATCCGTTTTAGATGCGGACTAAAGATGTCCACCGAAGCATAGACTAGCTCAACATAATATATTTTTGGTCACCAATCCATTGAGAAAGTTGCTTATTTTCACAATCGCAGACCGAACAAGCTAAGCACTTCTCATCTGACGTTGTTTAATAATTGTAATTCAAAATTAATGAATAATACCGTAACTGTTTCGAGTTTTGAAAGCATCACTGTGTATAATATTAAGTGACAATATGAACACTGTTCAAGCTTGGCTTTTTGTCAAGTTTAAAAAATGATGTACAGGCAGTCCTCGTACTTACGTACGGCATGTTAGGTTCTCAAAATACGCGACGTAAATTGAAACGACGTAAGTCGAGACATCCCCTCGGAAGCCGGCCCCACGGACATTCCAAGTAAATTCTCCTATGCCGGAAATCAAAACAATTGACGTGTGCTTGAGGAATAGTGTCAAAACATTGTTTGACGTAACTTGAAACGACGTAAATCGAGAACTGCCTGTATGTGGTTTTATAAAACTACGGCGCAAGTGTAACTTTTGCAATCATTGATAAAAATCCTTCCTCGGCTGGAAATCTAACGCAGGCTGCAAAGGTAGCAGGCGTGCTTTCTACCACTGAACCACTAATGCTTGTTAAAAAGGTCTGAATTGTGCGTCGAATAGTGTGACATGCTAAAGACAGACGAAACAATTTGTGGCGATGTAATAAGTTAAATTTTATTTTAACAATGCAGATAACCAGAGGAGGTAGATAAAAAGCGCAATATTTCTCCAAATGGGAAGTATAACGATACAGTCTGAATTAACTCCCTATGACCATACTCTTGGATTGTTAAAGTTACGACCTGTGATCTAGGAGACCTTTCTAACAATATATATTTAAAATCTCTAAATCCAGTTCAATCACTAATTGATAAGTATAACTCAAGGAAGATATTTCAAGGCTTCACCTTCACGAAAAGAATATAAGTCATAGTTATTGATACCTAGCCAAATAGTACTGGAGAATTTCCTTAGTGATCGAATAACTATTGTTATCCTCTCCAATGATTTCTAAAGGAAACGAATAATGTAATATCACCCACCGCTTTCAAGCGCTATTTCAACATTTTCTTTGCTATTAAAGGAAGTTCAAGTATTAAAAATACGTGTACTGGAAATACGAACATCCTTTTAAGTAGCACATGCAATAAATCTCCATATAAAATAGAATTCTTTGTAAACACAAAAAGAGATATACTTTTAATACGAATATTATTCTAATAGACATGTACGAGTATATAAAGTCGCTGTGAATGTTATATTGTTCTATCAATGAGGTCTTGACTGTATCTATACTCATATCTGACGTTGGTCATTGATAATGATAGAACCATTCACTCGTTAAATAATGTCGTATTTCCAATTTCTTTGGGTTTGTCGCTTAAGTATTTGGTTGTTTTTGACGTGACAACGTCTTAAATAAGGTTGCGGCTGGGAGTCACTTATGAAAAAGTGTAACGCTCGGTAACGTTACGATGAGTTTAAGTTTACATGTACAATGTTTTAGTAAACAAAATATATTTCTATAGTTAAAATTTGTGCAATTCTTATTTTCATTCAATTCCTTGTTCCTATTGTGCAATTTAATTATATTCATATCAATAAATATTCTACCGAGAAAAAGACGTTGTCACGTAAAATCTTCGCCCGTAAAACCGACTTTACAGGCAACCATTTTTTTTTGTCAAAATTTTGTATTACCTAAACTACACAAAGTTTTATTGCAAAATCCAACAAAAAATGTAAATACTTACTACGTTTTACTTAACTTTAAATCGAAACTTCATTCCATTTACATGTTGAGAATACTAAATTTACATAGTTTATAAACAAATCACACGTAAATTATATTATCAAACGATCTCTGTCTAAAATTTTATATTACAAAAAGTGACAAAATGTAAGCTTCTTTAAAAAATCCGAATTTAATTCGTAGCACATAGTAATGCCAAGAGATATTATGCATCTTAATAACTTATTTTGCATAGCATAAGGACAGAAATTAATCACAAAGTGTAGAGTTTAAGTTCAGGGCCAAGGCTTTAACCTACACTTGTTACATTTGCTAAAAAGTTAGCGGAATCTTAAAGCTATAAAATAGAATGATACTTAAAGGTTTTGACAAATAAACTAGGACCACAGCTATGAATATTTGTCGTGTTATTCCTAATGCTGACACTTCACATGGCTATTCTTATTTACTGTTAATCATTTTGACAGCAGGTATTCCTTACCATACGCTATAGGGACTGAAAGGGAATGACTGTTACCAGGTATACAAATAACAAATACTATTAACCATGTGAAGCGCTCGATGGCGCAGGTGGTTGCGCGCTCGGTTGCGATCGTTGAAGTTAATAGTTAATATACTATCATAAAATATGAAGATACAACTAAGAATAATATCAAAGTATGTACAAAGTAGACAAGCTTTCAGTCGAATAGGATCACGAGATACTGTTTCTGTTACTAAAACCATGTAATTACTACTTAATTTTTAGATTTAGATAGTTCTTTCACCAGTCCTAAGCTGCAGTAATCCTGAGGGCCATAGACTAAAATTGGGTGGGCCTTTAGTGTTATATAAAAGACATGCTTTTATTTAAGTAAATGGTGCATTTAATAAATACGCCAAGATAGAGATGAATGTTACCAAACGCATATTTGTTTGTACATTTTCATTAGATTCAGATATAACTTGGTGACTTTCCTTATTTACACAAGTCGTTATCCGCGAACAAAATAAGGTCAGATGCTATTGATTTTGTATGTATTGGCTTTGCTTGTACTTAGTTATTTATATACAAGAATAAATAAACATTTTTATTAATATTCATATGCATATAAATGATCTACAGGTATTTGTATATTATTATATTACACTTGTAATTCATGCCACCGTCTCGCCCACTTCCTTTTAATCCTCTTTATCGAAAGATTGTCTCGAAGAGACCACTTTTAGCGATAAGACCGCCCATTATTACACTAGATTTAAATGGCTATGTATTAATTGGAAAATTCTTTCTGGTGTGCAATAAAGTGTTTTATAGCACACCGTACTTGGCATCATCACTAATTCGGATGTTCTGGTTTCGATTGAAGTACCGAAAGTAAATTTTCGGAATTTGACTGCTCAAATTTTATGTTGTACAGATATCGTAGTCGTACTTCCACCCGGATAGCGGAAGGTGCTTGTTCAAATCCGGCTTACTGCCTCGGCTTTATAAATCTAGCAGTAAAATACTTAAAATTAATATAATAAACATAGAACAGAGTTTCTGAAAATATACTATAACTAAACATACTATGCATATTAATATACTGCCATACAAAATGTAGATACGACTAAGAATAAAATCAAAGTATATACAAAGTAGACGAGCTTCAGTCGAATAGGATCACGAGATACTGTTTCTGTTACTAAAACCATGTAAGTATTATTACCTTAGATTAAAACAAAAAGGGTAGATACGGCACTAGCCTCACAAAAGTGATCCGCACCAATTGTGGTCCACGACCCTAATCGCTTTAGTCACAACTTTACTTGCAAACAACGTACATGTGAACGCCAAAAAGAAATATTGCTAATATTTTGTGTTTATATGATAAAACAAACCCTAAGTGTGTTTTTAAAAAAATCAAATTGCTCAAGAACTAAAAATAAAACCCACGGCATCACTTTTCATTCGTAAGTACTATAAAATATATTTTTTCATAAAAATTGTTGTTTGTTTTGAATCTTATTCGGTAGTGACGTCGAGTACTGGTCGCGTGATTGGTCGGTAGTGCAGTGACGCGGATCTCGCCGTCTCGTTCGCGCTGCCGTTGAAACTTAACGTGCTGTTTCGTTCGGGTCGGTAATGCAGTGACGCGGATCTCGCCGTCCGGTCGCGCTGCCGCTGGGATCAGTTTTTGTTTGATGCAAGTATAAGCGTACCGTAGCTACCCTTTTTGTTTTAATCTAAGATTATTACTACTTAATTTGTCACGTACCACTCATTAAATTAAAATGCGTTTTTAATACTTTTATACAGAACTCGACTTTTCGCATCCTTTTCAGGATGCGTTTTCAAGTATATGATTTTTATTTACTTTTGATGAGCTACCTTCGAAAGACTATTATTGAACGTGTGTGCGCAAAACGCATTTTAAACCCGCTGAAAAACGTGATTCATTTAATGCGTTTTGTTTTTTTCAAATATAACAGCATCGAAAAACACAATTTATACACACTTTTAACATTTATGCTGGAGACAGGTGACGTATATCCCCCAGTTGACGCCTAGCCGGAAGCTCGACGTCAACTCCCCTATGCCCAGCGTTGTCTATATGTATTCGAGTGGATGTACCACAGATGGTCATCTGCTCCGGTAACGTGCTTATATGTATATCTGTATGTCAAGGTAACCGTTACTGACTGATCTGTCAACGTACACAGCAAAAGGGTAAAACAGGGGTTTATAGTTTGTATTGGAAACCAATATTTCGACGCAGACGTAGACGCGGGTACACACTATGCCTAAATATTGCCTATTTATAGGTGAAATCATAGGCATAACGACTCTGTTCCTTTTCCAATTTTTGACAAGAGCGCGATACTTTAGCCGTCTCCACCAAACATTGTGACGTTTAGCCGAGTGATGTCCGAGGAGAATAAATCCTGCTAATATAAAAGAGCAAGGAGATTTCGTGACTAATTTATATAATGTACTATTCAAAAATGGCATGCTTTGCCGCAGCGCCTGTTCCTTCTTTTCTAGAATCTGAGATAGTACAGAGAGAGGCAAAGAAACAACTTTTATGGAGGCATGGCGAGGATAGCAGGTAAAGCTCCCGCTGTCTACGCATTTGGGCACCATAATAACAAATATTTTTCTTTTTTCACTTCTTTTTCTTAAAACTTCTCTCCCTCTTAAAACCACAACTCGGGAAGTAACATTTGTGCCCACCATATAAATAAGCTTACTGTATGACTAACTGGTCAATAGAAAACCAAAAACATTTACCTATTCTGCGTCCTCTTTAATGGGATTCAGAGGTCGAGAAACTCAATTTACTCATCTATGCAACCATTCGATTATTTTATTAATTTGAAGATATAAACACAGTTAATTATTGTTCACAATCGAAGTTTATCATTATGATGATATCTCTCAAATATTGCAAGGAATCGTTGCATAAACATGAAGTGACAAAACTTCACAAATATGTAGGACAGCCTTAATTATAAGGCTTACGTAAATCGATCAAGTACCGAACATTAGGGAAACAGACTGGACGGACGGACTCTAGTTTGGTGAAGAGGGGAAGGGGAACATTGTGAAATACGTAGGGCAGACTCTGACCCCTGAGAAGCTAGTTCTGCGTGTGGCATTTGGCAAACTAATGAAATATCCACCAATAACACACGTAGTTTATTTTAATCACATCTATGTGCGTAGTTTCCATTTGTTTCGCATTAACGTGAACGATTCCAATAATATAATATCTGGATGGATACACATTAAGATTGTACTTTAGAGGTAGCTTTTTGGCATTCAGAACTTCTCATTAATAGCTACAATAAAGAATGATTTTATGCAAATATTTATTGCTTTGGAATGTCTTTGTAAACATTAATCTTCTTTTTCCTTTAATCACGCCATATCTTGCGAATAACTTTACCTTACAATTTCATTTATCTTTTTTCATGTTTGCTTACATTTGAAGATGGTACTTAAGAAAAATAATACACTCTAGAGCAATGAATACCACTGAAGTGACCCACTTAAAGAATCCTAAAAATCTCGCAAACTAAGAATGCTCCCTTAGTGAAATAAATTACAATTAATAGACGATTAATTACTCCCTATGCTAAGATATTAAAACTTCTTAGTTATTGTAAAGTTATATCACAAAAAAAAATTAAAAAGTCACTTTCGAAGATGGAACTACGAAATTACTGCATTTGTTTTTAATTTTGTTTCTTATCTGTCATTTATCATTCATATAAACCACGTCGATAGTGTTTAATATTAATTATTTTCGATGTAATCATGTCGCCTACACCTGAAGAATTCATCAGAATTCTGACAATGCTGGAAACCGGCCGAAGTCAGCGCGGTACAGTCAAGACTGTCGGTGTGTCGCTGTCAATAGTACAAAGAGTTCTCTAACGTTACGAGGAAGCTCGCTCTAACCTACGCAGATCAGGAACAAGCAGAACCAGGTGCACCACACTATGAGAAGATCGATATTTGGTGAACACCGTCGAAATCGCTTTCTCACAGGAACTGAAATTACAAATCAGTTTCGACTCCTCAGAGGAAGTAACGCAAGCATATGTGTAGTAAGACAACGACTTGCTGAAGTTAGCTTGAAACCACTAAGAACCCCCCTTGGGTTTGCAGATCTTAGTGGTGGAACTGGAGAGTGAACTGGGAGCGTGGGCATTGTATTTCAAAACTAAGATATGCCCAGAATCACTTAAATTGGGCTATTGTTATTGGTCAAAAGTTATGTTCTCCGACGAATCAAAATTTATGCTCTACAAGCACGATGGAAGACACAGAGTATATAGAAGACCTGGGGAAAAATTCAAGAAAGCGTGCATCGAAGAAAAAGTAGCCTACGGTGGTGGGTCTGTACTTGTGTGGGCCGGAATTTCTTCTGAGAGTCACACAGAACTGGTGTTCATAGAAAACGGTTCTTTAACTAGCGAAAGATATGTGGAAGAAATCTTGAATGAACACATTGGTCGACTTATGGTCAATTTAGGTGAGGATGCTATTTTTATGCATGACAATGCCCGACCTCATACAGATTGGATTGTGAATGACTAACTTCAAAAGATGAATATTACTCGTATGGAGTGGTCAGCACGCAGCCCGGATATCAAACTGATCGCGCATGCTTGGTACGAGCTAGAGAGATGCGTAAAACAACGCAACCCTCACTCAATTACGCTTCGCAAGCTCAAAATGGAGGAATGGGAGAACAATCCCGAAAATATAAGAATATTAAAGAAACAAAAAGGTAAGAATCTTGGTGTAAAGCATGCCAAACTGGGTAAACGCAGTTATGGAAGCACGAGGAGGCAATACGAAGTATTGAAATTCAAGAAAATCGTAATGTAGTTCAAATATGTCATGTTTCCTATTTTTGTTTTAAGGCGTGATGAGCCAGTTTTTTTCTTAATGTATTTTTTGTAAATAAAATGTGGTGACTCATAAATTTTATTACTTTCATTTAAGGAGTATTTAATTTATTCTTATAGATTCTTTATGTGATCCGGATTCATTGCTCTCGAGTATATTGAGGTGAAACATACCAATGCTCAGAGTTAAAAACTGTTCAGATGGCCTATTGCAGAAATTATGTCGATGTTTTGAACTAAATTGGCGTTCAATTGTAAATGCGTTAAGAAATGAAAATTTGAGTATTCTTATCGAACTTCGTGCAATTTTATTTTAATTTTATCTTATCTCCGGTGATTCCTATGTGCGAAAACCGGAATAATCAAAAAAGTGTCATGTCGCGATCCGATACTGTGAGTGCTGTGTGTGTCGAGAACAGTTTCGAGTGAGTAGTACGAGTATATATGTGAACAGTGGTACGGGTATCGAACGCAATAAAAGACTTCCTCGGAGGGTACTCATGCGTTATCGGCTCTAAAGAAAAAGCTTTACCCGCCATACCATAGCTAAAAGCGAAAACCGTCGAGAGAAGTTCGTTCCAGCTTCCAGGAAAGTTATCTTTTATCTCTTATCTATTAGACAAGTCCGTCCGTCTGTCTGTGGTGCTGTTTCAGCGGCCAAACCGTAAGAGATAGATAAAGAGAATATTTAAGTTATAAGTTAAGAATAGTCTGATAAGACTACAAACCGGATTTGAGTAACGTAGCACTTCCGGTTTTCGAGAAATCACGAATTTCAAACGAAACCACACAAAATCTCCGAAGTTCTCAATTAATTAAATACTTTTTTTTTAAATCAGGTTTTGGTGAACATTTGGTTCACTGGTTTGCTAGTACTAATATAATCCTCCTCGTTTTCTAAGTTGATTGGCCGGTTGGTAAGTACAAAATAATCATTTTTTTTCTTGTTTTATGGCCCTCATATAACGTTTTCCTAAGATACTGACAAACTTAGAAAACGCAAAATGATAATGCAGTGACGTCCGCACGCACCAATGCTGCATGAATTTCATATTAAAATTTTGCACAGTAACAATACTTGCATAACCGAAATTGCGGATAGTTATTGACTTTTTATGGGCAGTGTTGGTTTGGACAATGGTTCCTCTGCTTTCTGCAATGATATTTAATACTGTTATTTGCGTTAGGATAAGGAAGACGAAAGGAAAAAAAGGAGAACAACTCAGTAAAACTATAATAACATTTTATTCGTACAAAAGTAGTCATAAATTATAAGGTTATGTACAAAAGTTCAGAAAACAAGTATACTAAACGCTTCACTTCATTGTATACTAACTTTATCACATGTTTTGAAACGCTTGGGATAACTATATTTAGTGCAGCTGTACTTATCAAAGAAGTAAAGTATTTCAGTCTGGTGCACTTCGACGAAATACTACTAACAACCAAATGTAAATCATATATTTCTCTTACACTAGACAGTTATAGCTAATAGGCAGTGTGTCACATTGTTTGTATGGGAACGCGATTCTTTATGATTGGTTCTATTTTACAAATATAATAACACACAACAGTAAGTTTTTAATTATGGCAACTATAAGCATTGCGACGTCGCATCTCACGGAAATGTAAATACATATTCCTATTAAATCTTGTTACGTGGAATACCACGTCGCAACGTTAGCTATATTTTTTTGGGGAGTTGTTGTAAAATGATAGTACACGTCAAAAGTGACTATGGCCTGTTCAATTAACTTGTTCATATCATGCTATGAATTAGAACTCAATCGAATACTGCTCGTAATGTAATTATTGGTAACATAAAATAATTTCTTCAAACCATACACTTATTGTACTGATCATAGTTGTTGAGTCCTTGTCTTATAGATCACATTTGAATTAATTTTATTACAATATTTTGTGACATATCGATATTTAGTATAAAAGTTTGCGAATAATTTTAATTCAAACGTAACTGATCGTATCTTGATTTTTTGTCTATTTATTATTACGTGATATGCTTATTGTTGGTAATATTGGCCTTTGTAGTCCAAAGCTGCCTTCTCTTCATTTGCTCTGGCAGCTTCGGGGTTGTTCTTAGCTTCGAGAGCGGCGCGCTCCTGAAATGTTAAAAATAAAAAATATAAAAACACAGCAAACTTTGTTATTTAAATCATTCATAATAAAGAATGATTAAAAACAAAAAGCTTTTGTTGAAGTGTTTGGTATACGATATTGGATAACTTTAAGCGCAATAAACATATTATGTATATACTGCTATATAATCCTTCTATAAATTAATATATATACTGCATCATTCTGCATGCATGCATCTCAATTATATTTTATATTTTAAAATTATAGCCGGAGTAATTCAAGGAACCAGAGAGAATTATTAATCTTATTATTTATATATTCATTACAAAGATGATTATTACATTACATTTAATCAGCATAAGTAGATTTTTAAATTATTGCTTAAAATAGTTCTGTAGCTATTTTATATGTAAAAATGGTGGTAAACCATTTCGTTGCCTACCTGACCATTGACCGATTGATGACCATTCAAATTCTTTAAGTATGTTCATACGATTTACAATTGCTAAGCTATTAAGTTGAAAATTAAAATAATTCACCTCATTGGCCTTAATTCCAGCATAGATGAGGTCAAGTCCCTTTTGGATTTCAGGGGACACTGGGGGTGGGGTTGGGATGTGGTCTCCCTTCACCCTGAATCCGAACTCATCGGCGGTGTACTCCACAGTGATGACCTGGCCGTCGGGGGCTGTGTAGGAGTATGACCCGGACTGGACTAAAGCATCGTGTGTGTCATCCACTGCCCTTAGGTAGCCTGATTCTTCAGCTTGGATGTTGTTGCCGGTTTCGTACCTGGAACCATTTTAATAGAATATAAGTTTTTTTTATGCTAAAAGGGTGGCAAACAAGCTCATGGCCCGCCTGATGGTGAAAGCGGACACCATAGTCCATAGACACTTGCGATACAAAAAATATCACTCGCGCCGTTACCTACCCTGACTCTATCCTCTACTCCGTGGAGCCCTGGAACCTTACTCACCGACAGAAACACAGCACCATCAAAAGGTAGTGTTATTTTACTGTGGTCTTCTGTAAGGTGGAAGTTACTTCCCCAGACGGGCGCTCCATTAGCTCTACGTTCTAAGCAAGTACATATTTACATTCAGTCCAGTGACATTTTAAATTTAGATTTGTGGTAATGCAACGCGCGTGAACTACAATGTTTTTTTTAACATTGATACCACGCATCGAGCAGTAAAAATTGTGGCTGTCTGATGAGATAACCCTTTGCGAGGAAGGGATCGAAAGCGTAGGAATGTTTTTACGAAATTTTTACAACATTATATCATCTAAGATATTATAGTTATTAGACAAGGATCTATGGATGTTTTAATGTTGGAATCTTATAAAGAGGTTTCGAAGCATGAGTGTAGATAAAATCAGTATAAATGTCAATGATGTATATTCCCAGTGGGATTAGCAAATCGTCAAGTGTTCTAATTAAATACAATTTTATAAACGTCACTTTACAGCTGTTCGACATGTGAACAAATTATAATTACTTACACATTGACTACATAAATGAGTTTATTTCGAGTGACTATCTTTTATCTGTGCATTATCTAAAAATTATTCAAATTTTCAAGAAAATTCTCATTTGATGGAGTCATTATTCTTGCAAGAATGACGGTATCCATCTGCTATGTTGATAAGTATGTAACATCGTACATTACGATTACTCTCGGTGAATGTACAAAAAGTCTTGTAACGACGCGAAGACCTTGACTTATGTCCGCCATCGTGCGGGTGATGCGCTCAATTCGAAACTTGTTTACCGGTCTCAGAATTTGGGTGTGTACCTTATGCAGTTTAGGATATCACCCAATAACAAATTGATGGAATTACGCAATATTAAGATTACGTTTATTGTTATTGGTGTTTTTTTATGACCCCAACACTTATTTAGTAATGTTCTAAGTTTAACAGTTAGTATGGATGTTTTCTATTTAATTGCCTGCGTGAAAAGTTGAGTTAACAAGGTAACATAGACAAAACAACCATTGCACCACTCCAATATTTTATATGTAAAAAACCCTTTATTTAACTTTGTGTTATGTAGGACTCACAGGAAATTAAACTTTATCCCATAGCGAACGCGAGCTCAAAAAACAAGCACAACCTTTGAGTGCGTGTGATTAAAAACTTACGCTGTCTTGTAGCTTCCATCAGTGCCTTGCTCTTTGTCGAAACGGATGATCGGGATGAAGGTGGTAGTCTCCAATTGTACTTTGGGCCTGAAGTCATCAATGGGCTTGGCTTGTCTGTACTCCTGGGGCTGCTGTCTGTAGTCTTGCTGTTGAGGTTGGTAGTTTTGATAGTTCTGCTCAGCCGGCTGCTGGTCCTCGGCTACTTGCTGGTCGGGTTTCAACGACACTCTCCTTTGAGGGAGAGCTGTCGTAAGAGACAGCATAACACAGATGGCGACCTTGAACATTCCGAAAAAAGCTTGTGTAACGCAAACGACACGGAATTTCCATTTGTGTTTATTTATTCAATAATAAATATTAGAATAACGTTGCGGAATTATGTCACAGTTTTTTGTCTTTCGTAAGCTGGTGACCTTTGAATCTATTTCTTCACATGTTATAGGGAAACTTTGTTTAAATCTGAGTTTGAGTTGCAATTTCATTTCAAAAAAAGTTATAGTATATTAATGAAGTAGTCGTAATATGTAAATTTATCATTTGTTACATACATCGTTTCTGCATAAAGTTTATTCGTGGAATAAATTTCGCGTGGGTAGTGATCATAACGATTGCATATTCAACCCGTAATTATACGAAAATGCTTATAGATTGAATGACAAGTTGCGACCTATACTCGGCTTATTTATTAATGCTCTCAGACAGAAGGCTTAATCATATTCGTTGTGTCGCAAGATAAGATGAGGCGGCACAATAGGTTGCATCTTGTGAAACCGGCTCATTCGACACGCAGGTTGGGCGAAAGTGGGCACCAACATAACATACATTGGCACTTACATGTCCACAAATAACCCATTGTTTTCATTGAGATCTACTTGGGTTTTGGTTATGGTTCGTTAGAGCGCCGAGTTCACGGCGGTATACGTAACAATGAGTTTGCAATCAACGGAAATATTGCACCGGTAACACCGCTAGCAACCACAAAAAAATGCCATATGTATATCAAGCTAACTCTAAGACACGTAAAGTGCCATTGTTTTATAATGTATGAAAACTGTTTTAAATGTTTAAAATATATATACATATTGAATAATAACATATTCTTAATTCAGAAGCAAAACAATCAAGTTGTCGACGAATCATGTAGATTAAATAATTAACGTAACTTCTTTATTGGAAAGTTTTCACCATTACATTTGTAACGCAAGCTATTATAACTACCTGTTAATGGATTGCAATCGATATGGCTAATGCGTCTGCTTTCATTTCAACGATAATGATTACATTGACCCTGAAGTGTCAAACCTAAAAGCCTCACATGTGCAGTAATTGAACTGCGTTCACTGACTTTTTACATCATAATCCGTAATATAATGCTTAAATACTCAGCGGCAATAAAGTGAGAAAGCAAAAAAAAGACGATCGTAATAGCTATCTAAGTTAACTATATAGGAATTTGATTTACTAACCCGAGAACTTGTTATCGAATTTACCTGTTTCAAAAAAATCCGAAGTTAGATAAAATAATTTGAAAAAAAAGAATGGTTTTATTGTATTTATAACGTTATAAGGTATAGTTTTAAAAGAATATTACGTAAACTTTAATCATTATAGAATAGAATTACTAGATTTGCAATGTAATTATAATTTTGACCTATTTCTTATTACATTGTTAAGTTAGTATACATTTAATTATTTTAGTTTTATAGTAAACAATTTAATAAACAAGGCACAAATTTCAAAGTACAGAAAGTGACAACAACTGGAAATATGATAGAAAAAATTACATACAAATTAGCCATTTTATAAAACAAGAACTAATAAATGAAATCAAACATTTACCCATTATTGCGTACATTGAAATTAGTAAGATGAGCTAACCGCATTTACATCAATGTAGCAATTACCGAACCAATCTTCAGTTACGTTTCAACTATTCCGTGATTATTACTGGTTTTTTTAATCCAAGACTTCGTTGTTATCTATTAATTTCCTTACCCGGAAACGCTTGCTTTTTTTTAAAGAAATACTATTACACGAAACTTTATTACTATCCTAGAATAATCAGGTCTTTTTTAAAATCTTTCTAGGCAGTGTACAATTCAACAGAATATGAACAAAATGAAGATGCATTTAAATAAAATTCAATTACGAAATTAAACCAAATTAAAACGGATTTCACAAAAAAACAACAAACATTTTAAGATAGTTGTAATAATTATAATAAAGTTTTATATATCTATCTATCACGTTGATCGATATAGCATAAGAAATAATAGTATTCAGAAATTGGCTTAACCCAAAAGAAATTATGTAATGAAATTCGTATACACAATGATAGACTGTTTGTATAACAGCCACTGTATTCAGGTTATATGAATTGTAATATATAGTGGTGCAAATGAACGTAACTCACACGTGCTCATAGAAATTACGATAATGACAAGTTTTTTGCGTGGTCATTATCATGTCACCTATCTTTAATTTGAACTGTGAACTTACATTTATTATGAAACATAACGGATGAATTAGTTTTTTTAAAAAGTCTTAGGACATTGTTATTCATAAATTGCAAAAAACATAAGCATATAACTACGTTATTTATAAATAATTTTATTTCGATCTTAAGAAAATCTAAAAACGATAAATTAACACTGTCAGGTTATCCCGTCAACACAGGAGAAAATTATCAAAAAAAAAACTAACTTTCTTTATTTCAATATTTAAATAAATTTTATTCAAACAGATTCAAAAGTGCGAGGTGCTATTTAACCAAGAAATAAGGTCCAATGAAAAGTCAAAGTTCAACAACCTTGTTGCATCCTTGCGATCTAAATCCTGGGACACTATCACAACTTTAAAACTATTCCATTTTTGAAAACTTATTTCCTTTATTGAGGGATGCCAAAGAGAAATGGCATTGAACTCTGTAACTTTCGAGACTCACCAGCAGTTTCATCGTGGTTTTTGTGAGGACGTGCTGCGAGAGGGCACGTGGTGATTGTGAACTATGTCAGAGTGGTAGTAAAGCGCAGGCTTATATACGACACCCCTGCCACACCGCCCGATGCTCTGCCTTCATACTTTCATACAAGTGGCTGCAACTGATCCACGCTTGTCGCACTCTCGTTTGATTTCAATTTCGATATCTCAAAATCATGACATTGCCACGGGATGGGCATTGTTCGTGGGACCTTTGAATTGTATTATATCTCTCGAAAATTATATCTGATTTATAGCTTTCTATTGGACCGGAACCAGTTGTCACCTGCAACTATGATCAGTTTTTTGCATCGCCATTACTGAGAATAGGCAGGCGTTTTTTTTTACTACCATGCATGCTGATTCATTTAATGAAACATTCTTACTCTCTCTTACTATGATGTTTTACAGACCCTTATAATAATTCAAAACAATATTATTAGATAAAATTTATATGCACACTTCGTAACCCCTTACGAGTGTTTTATTGCCAAAATTTTAAACTTAATAGTAGCCTAAAATATACATATAACTAAGTTAAGTTTAATCGCCAATGAACTTGCATGCGGCTTCTCTCTATCTGGCAGAATGTTATTGCTCCGTAATTCATTTTTCAAAATACGCTTGGCATAACCTTGAATCGATTATTTTTAATGCATTATAATTATTGTTTGGTCGAATGTTTATATATCCGAATTCACAATAGCATACTGTTAAGATGGTATAATTCTGTAAAGCAAAATTGTGCCTAGACAAAAATGTTTTCTGCATAATGTAATTAAGCATTATCACTGTTTGTGGTCAATGGGATAGGTTTGGTAAGTAGGATGACTTAAAGTCACCATTGATAAATCCTACTAATATTATAAATGTGAAAGTTTGTATGTTTTTTACGCAATCACGCAAAAACTACAGAAGGAATTTGGATGAAATTTGGTATGCATAAAGTTCATGACATGGATTGAGACATAGGATACTTTTTATTCCAAAAACAAATACAGGTTCCTGTGGGATTCTGAAAAAACTAAAGTTAACGGGGACGAAGTCGCGGTCGGCCACCTTAGATAAATAAACAAGACAAAGTTAAATATTTGATGCCAAAAGATGATTCTGGCTATGATTTATTTGCCATTTGATGGTTCCGGTTTTTAATAATTTTGAATGATTCTGACTTACTTCTTTTGAATGTCTGCTAAATGAGTTAATGCCAAATGATTTTCTGTGAAATTCAGTTGATGTAAGTAAAATAATAATAATGACATCAAAAATTCTGCGCTACAAGGCACATAAATCATTATTAATATAAAACGAAATGCTTTCTCGTTTACTTACAAAAGCAATAACGTTCCTATTAAATTAAGAATCTAAATAGTTAGGTATCGTTGTCATATTGTTTATTCTGATTTTTGGATCGGATAAATGCATTCGATATATTATTTAAAAATATTGATATAATTAGATATTAAAGGTTATTTTAGATTATTTGTTATTTTTATTTATAATATTAAGTAAAAAAGGTTTATTCCAAACTAAAGTCCCTTTCAAAAAATCCCCAAAAAAACTAAAGCAAATAATTCATACAGTTATTTTTTCTAAAACTAAACAAATTCAAATACATTTCAAAGTTTAAAATCTAAGAATTGGTATGTAAAGTTTTAGATTCATTTGAATATTAAAATTAGAGATGATTATTTGGTATTTATTTAAATAAATATTATTCAACGCTATATCATATTTAAATCTAAAGAAAAGTTTACTAGAAAAAAATCCACGCGGACCAGGCGGTCCCGTCCGCTGCCTGGATAGCTGCCTAGATTTAAACATCTAGCAGTTAAATGCTTAAAAAATAAGTAAAATCATAGCTATATCATATCTTTATTTTAATATATTAACCTATTTACAATTTAAATCAAAAATAAATTCTCTAAGAAATTACCAGGGATCATAAGAGATGATCGTCATCTTATCTCTATATCTAATGTTAAAAGGTTAATCAATAAATAATAAAATGGTACAACCTACAATTAAAGTTACTCTCAAGGCCCTTTTGTAACTTAATTTTATTTCTCAATAAATAAGGTGAAAATAATGAAGAAATATCTGGTCCCATCTTCGCTAATCATCAAAGGTATATCAATATAGATTGATGCCTACGCAACACCATATAAATTGTGACATAAAATCTTATTCACTTTCTCGAATCTCTTTGATTAACTATTAGTGTTCTCTCGTCGAAGCATAAATGAGCCAATTTGGTAGATTGTGTTATAGTATGGCTTTGAACATTTGCAGTAAAATAAACGAAATGTTCCTATCAGCTAGACGTAAGACGTCCAGTTTCGTTTCGGCGGTTACATAAAATAGGCGTAGTGCACGCTCATCAGTGTAGCAACGGCCGGCAGACGCGTTAGAATCAGTTATCGAGGCGAATTGTGCAACTAGTTCAAAAGGGTGCGCAAAAGCGCTACATGTCGCTGCCATAAACTTGAATCGCTGCTGATAATTAATTAAAAAGCTAAGCACGAATAATTATAATCCCCGTTGAGTATGTCTAATTTTGATTATTTGAAATAATAATAAATATACTTTCACAATTTGTCAAGACGTGTTTTTGTGTACTTACATTATGGTGCTCCATACACAGTCTTAATTTAAACTGGACCATTGAATTATGTTGCGATTAATGAATGATAAGGGTGAAATGTGAATCAGGACGATAGCATGTGAAGATCAATTGTTTCTGCCTATCTCTTCAACGATGTCAAATATGCTAGTTTATTTATAGTTGATGATGTCATTCGTTTAGTGACGGGTATAGAATAAAATAACACGTCTCTATGACAAATATCAAATTTAATTAACGTATCAGAATGCGGCAGGTACACTTCAAAAGTCAAGTAATTAAAAACATAGCAATCTATTCGCTATGTTACTTCCCTTCAAACACATAATGTATTGCATTCTACTGCAGTTGGCTGACTTGTAAAAAAGGTAACTCGGTAAGCAAGACTGTAGTGTCAACTAAGCCTAACAAGAAAGCGTGATATTATGTAAAATATAAGGCTATTATTTAAATAAACACAAACATTCTAAGCATAACATTGACCGTTTGCCCGACCGATTGCCGTAATAGATCGCTTACAACTACATCGAGTAACGCACCCGATGGAATAAAATACCATGGACATGTAGTCCCCCGAACTACCGCGGACACCGAGGGACCGGACAGCACAAAAGTACGCAAGAATCTGCGAAAAAAATAGAACACAAGTGACAGGAGGCAACGCACACAGGGAATTTAGTCCGCGTCCGCGAGAGTTGTGTACCATTTTTTTTTTGTTCTGGGAAATGCCTTATGCATCCTTCAACTACCGGGCGAGCGATAAGAAGGTATGTGGGATGAAACGAACAGGGCTCAACCTAATGCCCTGAACAGGGCTTCTAAAAACCAGACAATACTCCTGCACCCGGCACGCATTCCGAGGACCGCAGTCCCCCCAATACGCGACGGGAGTGTGGATGATGTTGCGGCACCCTGTTACGACTGGCCGCGCACGCGCAAGGTGATTGTCCGCAAGCGGAACTGCCACGACGAAGATGCCCCGGAGCATCAGGGGCATCAGCATCTCGCAGACTCGCGGCACTCGCAAGAGTGGGAAGGAGAGCGTAATTCTCCCCGTCCCTCTCCGCCACCCTTGGTCCTAATAAGAACCGTTTAGCGTCACCGGCCGATGGTTAAGTCCACCAGGGAGTTACACTAACTCCCTAGCCCTGAAAAGGGCCTTTCACCGAAGCGCATCAGACCAGCATCGCGGGACAGTTCTCCATGACTTATCGGACATGGGCTTACACGCTGTGCTCTGCCCGAAAATCCCAGGCGCAAGGTTCCGTAGTGAAGCCCACACGCCGTGGAGGTAAGGGCGCCGGCATCGCCGTTTTAAGGGCACGGCCACGTCGTCGTATGGCAGCAACTTAGGTCGACGTCCTCGTAAGGATCTAACCCTCCCTTGGCCCTGAAAAGGGCCCGTTCTCTGCTGGCCCTGAAAAGGGCCTCCTCCCCATGCTGGTTTTTGTCCGCGTCGGTCACAATCGGTTTCGACGCTTAGTAATGGCATTCTTTCATAAGGCTTAGCATCATATCTTCTTAGGATTCTATTTTAAGCGATTTCAGTGATTGAATCAACCTCAAATATGTTGCTCGTATTTATTGATTTTTCAGAAAAAAATATGAAACATTGTTTTTTCTAATATGCTTCCACGCATTTTAAATAATCTCAACAATACCTTAAATTAATCAATCCGATATAATGGGGCAGTTTCCCAGAGTTCTCTTAGAAGAGACGTTCTAAAGAACGTCTTTTCTTTTTCTTAAACTTGATGTTTAAAAATTACAATACAACGTTATTCAGATTATTGCTTTCTTCGATAAATGTCCGCACACCGTGTGCGTTGAGTCCGTGACAAGTCCTCGGTGGCCAATTTTTTTCATAATACGCGGAAAAAAGTCCGTCTTCTGCGCCAGCGATTAATAGTAATGAAAAGAAAACGAATATAATTACAACATTAATGTAATTGTGAATAAAAAATTAGGGAAAAAGGAAAAATTAAAACATCTACATAGCCCGCAGCATCCTTGAAAGAGAGAATAGAATTTTGAAAATATAAAGATATAAAAAAACGATAAAAATTTAAACACCTCCATTAGCTTAAACACTTAGCATTCATCTTTATGTTTATTAATTGTATTAGGGAACAACAGTATTCGTTTATACAATTACGAATATTTACAACATAGTTAGATATAAGCTAATTATAACAAATTTTAAAGGCTAACACGACATACAAAATGAAAATAAAAAAACTTTTAATGAAAGTAGTACGTTGAACATTTAACTTTTTCAAGAGGCATCACAATGCAACAATATTCAGTAATAAAAAAATGGGTGCGTGTACTTATGTAGGCGCGTGAGAAGTTATCCTTCTTTGGCATCGTTTAAAATTAGTTTTTAATTGCATGCAAAT